ACAAAGATGGCGCCTTATCTGGCATTCACAGCCTTCCACACCGTTGGGAGTCCTGCATTGCTAAGGAAGGAGAATATGTAGAAGGCCTATAGATATAGTCTGTTGGATTAATTGTCAATAAAAGAGAGAAAAAAATTCTGTGCCGAATTTATGAAATGCCCCTCGTATATATTTGCATTTTGAATCTCCAGCACTCATGTTTGTCGTATTTTCCAATATGACGATAAAGTGAAAATCTCCTTCGTGAAGGCTCTCAGTTGGATTGAGTTTGCCCAGCATCTGTGCATGCGCAGCATCTTTTGCGTCTGTACGAATGGAGCATACCGTATGCATCAACATGTGAATGATATGAATATTACCTCATTTTATCTCACAGGAAACTTATACTCAACTTACGCAGCAGCGAGTTGAAGCTTAGTAAGAGTAAGACGCACTCTATTCTACTCTACACAGAGTAAGAGCCCGTGAATCCCTCATGCAACGGCGCTAAATCCACTGGTGATTCATTGGTGGTGTACTGCACCGACTGGTGAAATTCCAGAATATTATTTTCGTGTTCGCACGTGATACTTCACCTCTAAGTCTCGTTTATTTCTTTTGCTCCGAAGCGTATTGAATTCCCAAATAAACCTGAGAACGGCCTCCAACTATGGAGCTGTCTGCTCTTACAAATGCGTCTCGTTTTGGTGCAATGATTCATCGTCTGGAAGGAAAAAAAAATAGTGGATGATACATGGAACACATAATGATAGCGTAGGATCTAGGATCGCGTAGTGATGCAAGGTACCGGCTGTTATCTGGGATGACTTTGAAGATGGGCTGTTAACTTCGATTTAACGTCGCATCAGTTCTCGATCTTACGTCGCATGTTGGAAGCTGGTAGAAATGGGGCACACCTTTGAGTTTCTGACGTGGGAGGTGGTACAAATTTGGGTTCATGGAACGCTCGTCGTTACTACCTACCAGCAATAAATTTTATCAAGGACACTCCATTCATGCAAGTCCTTTTTTTACAGAGCGATAAGAAAAAAGAAATACGAAAAGAGAGATATTAGTCGTAACTATAAACTTTAGGTCTATGCTCACCAGAAGAAATAAGGGATAGGGTAACCGGGAGGGGGGGGGGGGGGGGGGGGGGGGGGCGGGGGGTACCTCAAGCACTTCTTCGAGGCCAAGCCCCCGGCGTTCTACAGGGAGGGCATCCACTCCCTGCCCGAAAGGTGGAGGAAGGTTGTGGGCAACGATTGTGCTTACATTGTGGATTGATCTTGTTTTCATTATGAACAAAGAGAGAATGAACAAAAACAAGAAAAACTCCAAAGACTTTCTTAACAACCCAATATGTATGACTTATTCAGGACATGTCTTGCGTAGTCTAGCAAGGTAGCTGCATGACCTTTCCCCGATTATCCTGTCTATTACGCGAATGTGTATTCAAGAGGAAGTCAATAGGTTTTTATCTAGTGCGATCGACTCGACGATGACGTTCGTGTTTTCATGGTTGCCAGATAATTTTGACAGTGCTACTCAAAGTAGCATGGGCACATGCTATCGGGGTGATATGGGCCTTCGACTGCTCATATTCGTACTTCAGATGCTATCAAAGTTTGAGAAACACTTCGACAGACTTTTGGAAAACATGGGATTCACTTCACATTGTTCCATGAGAATTTTGTTGCCTCTGAGCAGGATCGCTCGGTCTGCTGGGACTCGGATCCTGTTTCCTTTCCTTGTATGGAATATTTTTGGATTCTTTCAAGCAATTTCCTGGACCGCGAATATGGGCAGGTGGAAGCATTCATGTTTTCATTTTTTATTTTCATCAGCAACCATTGGAGATGAAATTTTTTTATTTACCATGCGCGCTTGTTTGAGAATGAATTTATGATGAAAGTGAAATTTTGCTTCTCTATTCTATAACTTTCCACATTCCAACACCAAATGCAGAATCCCTTCTTCCGCGGAATTGCTCTATGCTCTCAAATTTATTTATTTTTGGTTTTGTTCATTTTATTGAAGTACAAACTAAAGTTAATGTGGGAGGCCATAACCAAGCCTAATTGCGGTCCATCTCTTGCCAAGCAAATATCCATTCAGTTGTTTTTAAGAAAGCTTCAATATGATTCGGGTTTGATGTAGCAGAAAGGAAGCGTTATGAGGGGAGCCCGGCGGGGGGGGGGGGGGGGGCGGCGGAAGGGGGTGGAATATTGGAAGAGTATCGATCGTTTTTGATAACGCTCCAAGAGCAAGGAAACATCGTGGTTTGAGAATTGCCTGTCAACGTGTCTGCGAATACCGTTCATTCACTTGGTTTAGTTATTCGTTGGAGTTTTCTTCTTACATTTAGTCAGCTCCTTCTTTGTTCAAAACGAATGGCATGGCTTGTGATTGCGAAATATTAAAAGGCGGATAGACGATAAGGTCAGAGATCCCCATCTACGAATTAGGGGCGGTATGAACTGTTGAGCATTCTACAGCGCGCTTGCCGGGCGCCATGAGTCCCCTTCTCATTCCTCTGGGGTGATCCATAGGGATGAGTCTCTCAGGGATGAATTTTACGATTCTCAGACAGATCGATGCTTCTATCCATTGATCATTCTTTTAGAAATGATTCCCTTATCTTCGCTTTGGGGTTATCGTATAGGGGCTGAAAGAAGAATGAAACTCTCCCGAGAACCTTGGTGTATCCTCTGGTTACTGAATTTCCTCATCCCCAACACGAACTCTGCATACGTGAACATTCCTTGCTGCACAGCCCAACTGAACCGATCCAGAGAAGTCGTGCGATATCTCTCTCAAGCCTTTCTGAGACTTCCGAAATGTGCCCACGTATTCCTCCACGATGGCTCCGCCGCGTCCGTGGAAGCTGCGACTGATCTCCAGCTTCTTCTGTGGGCTGAAATCTCGGTGCCCTCTGGCGTGTATCGCGTCGACGAGGAACCTTGGAGCCGATGGCCCTGTGCTAACTACATACCCCTGTTCTTGTCACCGACCGAAAGAAGCATTTCCTACTTCTTCAACTCGATGCGGAAAGCCAGGGCCGTGACGGAACTAAGTCGACTGTTTTTCCTGACCGACATGAGACCTGCTTATGAAGAATTTCTCAATCAATTTCCCCGAGACATGTACGTGGTCGGAATCCTCTTCCAGCCGTCTGTCCTCGCTGTGAAGCAACTCGCATATTCGGCTCAGGGGGGATGGAAAAGTTTCCACATGTGGCCGCAGGAATTTTTTCTTGATTCCAACAGAAGCCTCGACGGATCCTTTCACCTAACGCTCTCAACTCTCGAATACTGCCCTTTTGTGTGTATCCAGAACAAAACGGGTGTAGGGAGATACTCCGGCTTGGAGATCCGCGTCATCGAAGAGCTAGCAAGACGAATGAACTTCACGTTCAGCATCACGCCCCCAGCAGACGGACAATGGGGTCTGTTGACGGAAAACGGGACTTGGACTGGGATGGTTGGGGACGTTTTTTACGGCAGGGCAGACATCGCCTTCGCCGAGATTTACGCGGACTGGAATCGCGTCCGTTATCTCATGCCTTCAATATACATGCAAGAGTGCAACTTGATCGCTGTTCCCAAGCCCTCTACCCTTCTAAACTGGAAGCTACTCATTCACCCCTTTCAATACCAAGTGTGGCTGCTCTTCGTGAGCACGTTCGTCATAGCATCCTCCGTCTTTACTATTGTCCTTAGCCGCTGGATATTCTCCCACTACAGTCTAACGAGGAATTTCTGTGAAGCCGCTTTCTGGAATTACAGGGTCTTCGTATTGGAGGCTCCTGGGGCACGCTATCGACGGTTTACATTCCGGACTTACCTCATCGTGTGGTTGTGTTTCTGTTTCCTCATGATAGCATCGTACAAGGCCGGTCTCGTCGCCATCCTCACCGTTCCGCTCACGGCTAAGCCCATCAATACAATCCATGAATTAGCAGCCAGCAACCTGAAATTCGGATTGGTCGTCTACGGGAGCTCGTACGATGCAAGTTTTTCCACGCACCCGGATCCAGACTTCCGGCTATTGTCGACGAGAGCTGTGGACATGGGGGACCCCATCAACGGGTTGACGAAGGTCCTCGAAGGAGATTATAGTTACACCGACCCCGCCTCGGTCATAGAATTCGTTACGGCAATCAATTTCATGGATGAATCCGGTGTTCCATTCTACATCATGCCGGTTTGTCCCTTGCCCGCCAACGTGGCTTTCCTCACCGGGAAGCACTCCTTCTTCGGCGAGAAATTCAAGAGAAGTGTTTCACGTGTGAAGGAAGTCGGGCTTCTGATTCGCTGGATGGAATTAATCTATCAAGAGATGGCGAAGAATGGGACCCTGGCCCAAGAAGGAGGAGGAGGAGATCCCGTCGCCCTCAGCCGGAATATCGCTCCCAAGAAAGAAAGAGGTGTCAAGCTCTCCCTACAGCATATCTACTCTGTCTTTTTGGTGCTGATCCTCGGTCTCGTCATCGCCAGCATTTCGTTCTGCTTCGAGATCGCCTACAAGCGATATAGCCAATCCAAAGCCCACCCCCCAAGGGTTCGTAATAGTAAATGATGTAATTCACGCTCATAAAATACTGTTCATGCATTATAACACATCACATAGAGGCATAAAATAGTGAACCTGAATAAATTCCAGTCATTGACATGGAGACGAAGATCGAGAGCATTTCACACAATGGAGCATACCAGCAATGGGATTCGATATGAATATCATCACGAAGCACCGGGTCCGAGGGGAACAAATTCATTTTGAAAAATTCCAAGAAAACTGAGCACGAAACGGCACCGAGGTCTTCCGGGACACGATGCTGCCGACTAATGGCTTGCACGTCACACCTAAATCCCCAGATTTTTTAAACTCCAGATATGGAAATTCATCGAAGAAAATGAGATATTCGACTGACCTTGGTGAATTTGGCATGGAGAAAGGAATGAGTTTGAACTGAAGAGTCCCCGGGAGTCAAGTCTTGAATGTTTAAGGCTTCTTCATCTGGAGTTTTCTCCCTTTCCTTCCTCTTTCTTATCAGATAGTAATAGAGGGCACCAATAGGGACGGGAATGATGGTGAGTACCAGGCAACCGACCCCGAGACATAGAGCCCATAATGGGTACTGCTGAAGCTCGTTTCTCCCCTTTTGTCAATGAAAAAAAAATTCACATGGAATATAAGAAGAACCTTACCCTGCTTATCTTATGAGGTACCTTATGAACCTTATGAGGTTTTCGAACAGAGGTTTCATGAGGCCTCATAATCCTCACGTGGACGTTTCGAAGCCTCACGAGGAACCTCACGATACTTATGAAAAATTCGGCAGATCTCATGAGTTTATAATGAGGTTTTTTCAACAAGGTAGTGAAAAGAAGCCTCAGAGAAATGATTTTAAATATAACAAAAACGTACGATTTCCTTGTTCCACGCGTAGTAGCCTGGATATTCAGACGCACTCTTGTAGATAGTCGTTATGAATAAAGCGACGAGAAGAAACGGGCTTAGATATCGCCAGCAAATCTCACAGAAATATCCCGGATTTCGACCAGTCATTTCCTTGATGTCACCAACAAATCTGTTTTGGGTCAGAAAAGAGGATATGAGATAATTGACTTGTTAGGATACCCGCATAATTGAGGATCAAAGAGATAACCGAAGAAGCATTCCAGCTCAAGTAATCAATAGGAATTTCTTTTGGAAATTTCAGACATAGTGGTCGACCTGAATTATTGGGTTGCCTTTCCCTCGGAGGACTAACTTTGGGGCAGCATATCTCTAGAATCGTTTGAGCTAGAGGCTGAAATTAGCAATTTCTTGTTAATTCAGGGAGACCATTCTTTATTTCCCCCACCGAATCCCATTCGGAGGCGCAACCAAAGTTCCAGAAATGTATCACTTGAGTTGGAATGCCTTCGTACCGTTTCATCCCATAGCCGTAAACGATGATGACCAATTCCATGCAGCCGACAAGGAGGAGTCCAGTGGACGAAAAACTGTCAATAAGAGTGACCCAATACGACCCAGAACCGGTCGTGAATATGAGACCCAGGAGAAAGCAGACCAGGCACAGAATCCCTGCCAGCAGGACACATTATATTATTATATATTTCTAGCCTCGATTCCCCGAGCTCTGGTGCTGAAGCTGTACCTGAGAGGATTTCTTTTCGGACTTTTTTGGAGAAAATGTCGAAAAGATTCGTGGTGACACCTTCCAGGAGGCCGAATTCCGAGCCAAGTCCCAGAGCCAGGAGCATCAAGAAGAAGATTATGGACCAGAAAATAGATCCTGGTAACTCTACCACTGCCTTCGTGAACACGATAAATGCCAGACCTGTCCCCTCGGGTTTCTACCAGGAACATGCAAAATATCACCGTCAATAAAGCCAAATAGACGTGGATGGTTATCGTTAAATGGCGGATTCCTCACTTGATCCAGTTCTTCCATCAGACTGCAGTTGCGAAATTCGTTTGCATCTATGGTCTTCTCCTCCAATGCCATGTTATAATAGAGATCATACTGCTTATCGGTCATGCTCAAGTTCAACACGTCCGGATACAAAGATGTAAGCAACTGCTTGTTCCTGGGCAAAGAATCATAGAGGAGCAAATCCAAGGAATGTCTCAGGCAATTCTGTCTCAGTCTCGAGGAGAGATGCCGACTTACTCATTGTAGCAGTCCTGAAACCTGTTAAAGGCCTGGAATCCAAGAATGGCGAATACCACGAGGGATGTGAGCACGGATGTGATGAGATGAACGAAAGCCGTGAAGATGGAATCGAAGACGCAGTCGTTGGAGACGGGATTATAACTGGCCAGGGCGATGAGACCGCCAAAACCGCAGCCGACGGTGAAAAATGCTTGGACTGCCGCGTCTGTCCAAGCGAAGGGATCCCCCAGTTTCTCCAGCTGGAGGAAAATTTTATTGAAAGGCTCTGCATGGCCCCTCATGCGACATGCAGGGTACTAACCTGGGACCACAAAAAATTACTGTAAATGTAAACTAGATCATTGTTTGCTAAGTAGAAGTAATGCCGACAGCGGTGAAGAATGCGAAGTGAAAGGAGGAAGACAAACCTTGGGCGTGAAAAGATGAAGGAGACCCTCTTTGGCACCAGGAAGCGTGACGGCTTTCCCTAAGAACACGGCTATCACAATGTACGGGAAAATTGCAGTGAAATACGTGACCTGCAGAAGAAAACAGGAAAGCAACGTCATAGGGAGTCTAGGAGCATCGAGAAAATGGGAATCCTCAACGGATGGACCTTGCCCGACGTTTGGATCCCTTTCATGATGCAGATGTAGACAACCAGCCACGAGAGGAGGAGGCAGAGGGCGAGCCACCACTTCATCCCTCCCGAGTCTTCGATCGAGCCGGTGATGTCGAGGCTCTCTCGGAACCAGTAATACGTCGTCGGGGAGCTCAATTGGCACTCCTGGACGGTTTCGTTCCCTGGGCATTCCGTCCATGGCAGCGGACTCTGCAACGAAAGTACGTAAGTCCCATAATTCCTTCGACCTTGAAAAGCTTTAGAACTCGGATTGTGGTGAAGGGGAACGATTTCAGCGTTACTGCATCCGTTCAAGAAACGGTACCGTGCATCAGGTAGCACGCAATGTTGCGCCGCCGTTAGCTCTAGGTCGGGTGGCCCAGGGTTGAGTGGGCATCCACCCTTGAACTACCGCAGACCCAAAGGTAGGAGGCTGCCAATGTTAGCATACAATTTGAATACTGTAACTACAGAGTTTTTCGGGCCAATATCTCTCATGCGTGAACTGTTTGATGGTACGAGTGGTATCCAGCGCATAGGCGCCGACTTCTAAAAAATATTTAGGGGGGGGGGGGGG